GGTTTATATATACCAGCAACGAAAGTATGATGTTTAGTTTGTGCGTCTCTATCTAAAGCAATATGTCCATAAGCTTTAATAAAGAGTCCATAACAAACAGCAGTAAGAGGCCCAGATAAAGAGAAAGCAGCTTCAGCAACAAAATAAGAAATATAACAAAAAGTAATATAAGTTAAACACTGAGTGAGGGGATGTCGACGAAAAAATAATAAAAAAAAATAACCTAATAAACCAACAAAAACACCAAATGCTGGGCCAACAAACAAAAGTTTCACAAACATTAAAAATGTTGAAAAAGGAGTCTCCATTACACCCTGCAATAAAAAAAAGAAAAACTGAAATAATAATACAGCACTACCGTCGTTTATCAGAGATTCACCTGTACATACACCCCAAACATACACACACACATATACACAAATATTTTTATTTTTTTTATTTTTTTTTTTTTTTTTTTTTTTTTTTTTTTTTTTTTTTTTTTTTTTTTTTTTTTTTTTTTTTTTTTTTTTGGAGAAGGGAGTTGGTCCTTGGAATGAAACAGAAACAGAAAGGGGTTCTGAGGGTTTAGAGTTTATGAGGGTTTATGAGGGTTTACGGTTTATGAGGGTTTACGGTTTATGAGGGTTTACGGTTTATGAGGGTTTACGGTTTATTCGGGTTTATTCGGGTTTATTGAGGGTTTATGCGGGTTTCCTCGGGTTTAGGGTTTACTATTCGGGTTTATTAGGGTTTAGGGTTTATGAGGGTTTAGGGTTTATGAGGGTTTGTGTGTTTTACCATCAAACATGGTGCATAGTTTATCTGAAGCATTAACAGCATTAAGAACAGATAGAACAGCAACAGGGTCTGTAGATGAGAGAGTAGCAGCAAGAAGGAAAGCAGCGGTCCAGGCCAGATGTGACCATTGGTTCCCGATAAAAGTATAATAAAACAAAACCCCCAAAACCCCAACCTGTACAGCAACCCCCAATACAGCTAGAGTTAAACCCCCAGCAAAAAACTTTTTAAATTTATGCCAGTTTATATTTTGTGTTGCTTCATATAATAATATAGGCATCATAACATAATATACAATTGAACTATCTATAAACCTAGTTTCTAGTATTGCTGTTTGTAATATATTATATCCAACCAAAGGAGCATGATAGCTTCCTCCTCCTCCTCCTGCTGCTGCTGCTGCTGCTGTTGCTGTTGCTGCTGCTGCTGCTGCTGCTGGGGTTGCTGCTGACTCAGAAGGAGAAGAACCTGAACCACCACCACCAGCAGCACCGCCAGACTCCTCCCAGGGTTGTGGTGGTAGCAATGCAGGTATAGAAGCTACACCGTATGCAGCCATACCGAATACAAACCAAACGATAGATACAGGGGGAGGATACACCGGAATCTTTGATACTAACCACTGTAAAAATATTGCGAAAAAAAACAAAAAAGAATAAAATGCTAGAGATGGAGCTATAGGTATTGAACTTAATATACTCGGTGTATCTACACTTTCTTCAGATAAACGACGCACAGATATACCGCTGCTCATGCTATCTGCTGCTGCTGCTGCTGCTGCTGCTGCTGCTGCTGCTGCTGGTGCTGCTGGTGCTGGTGGGGGCGGTGCAGGACCCCATGAACGGAGAAAAGGAAAAACGGTTGGAGGGGGAGCAGCGAAATAATTTTTTACGTTATAAGAACGCCAGAAACAGCTGATAGCCATGAGGAGGCAAAGAGCCAATATAGGGAGATAGAAAGTACTAGCAGGAAGACCCCTTCTCTTTTTGCTGGAAAAAGAATATGAATATGAAGAAGAAGAAGAATTTGAATCATAAGAAGAACGTCTACTTGCATTTTCCTCAAAAGAAACACCGCCAACGCCAGCGGCGTCAGGTAAGCCAAGAGGATCCGCCACTGCCTTCTTGGGCCCCCCTGAAGGGGAAAGCCGGCGATCTGCGGCGTCGTTCATTTCTTTTATGCAAATGGAGAAGAAGGAAGAAGCATAAGATAATTATAAACAAATTCAGCGAAAAAACGAAACAAATTAAACATGAAATACCCGAGATCAATGAATTCCGAGAAAGAACCACGAGCTGCGCATACACCCCAGATTCTTGCAAAATATTCTGATCTGTAGAGATTCACCTTTTTTTTATGAAAATAAATTATATAATATATCTTTATATGAATCCGAAAATATTATATTTTGAAAATACTAGCATTTGGCCTGAAAAAAAACAACTAATTCTGCATAGGTTTCTCTTTTTTTTTCTTCTTCTTTGTTGGGTATGAGGTGCACAGCACCGTCGATCGTATCGGTGCTCGTTTTGTTTGCCCTCGGACCAATGCAACTTCAAATGAATAAATTTATTCAAATATTTTATTTCTGAAAAACAATTCCACAAAAAAACACAAACGTGGGGCATGCAGCCAATACCTCTGTTTTTTTTTCACGATCGTGGCTGCTACTGCGGCCGGGTTGTTGCAATAGTTGTCTTCTTCAACTAAAAACCGTGTAATTTGTATTTATTTTTTGTAATTATATTCTTTATTATATTATCTTTTTATTTTTATGAATTTATTTTCGAATTCCTGCAAAATACCGCTCCTTCTCAACCACAAAAACCCCCACACAGTGCATGCGAACGATCTGCACGCGATGCACTGAGTGTGCATACACCCCAATGCTCAGTGACGGTAGATATTTTCAAGTAGATGCAACAAAATTTATTTTATTTGTTTTTTTATGTTTATTCTATTTGTCTTAATGCGTAGAAGTGCCACTAACAAACAAACATAGTAGCACAGCAGCACCGCCGGCTGCTGCTGTATGGGGGCAAAGCCCCCTCATGCTGCTGCGAGCAGCAAAGCTCTAATTAATTTAAATAAAAAATATAAAAATTAAATTAATTAAATAATTTTATTCTCCAAAAGAAACAACATTAACAGCCTTCGTTGCTGCGGCCGCTCGTCATCGGCATTCAAGCAGCAGCAGCAGGGGTCTAGGGTGTGAGCTGCTGCATGCATGCATGCTGCAGAGAAGGTTAAGCTCTCTAGAACAAAAAATAGTAACATTCATCAAGCCCCACTTGCATGCATGCATGCATGCATGCATGCATGCATGCATGCATGCATGCATGCATGCATGCATGCATGCATGCATGCATGCATGCAGTGGAGGAGCTGTAGGCAGTTTATATTGAGCGTTTTCTGGGTTGTATGTAACCAGCATGCATGCATGCAGAAATATAAATAATAGGAGCTGCTGCATGTGATGGTCTTCGATGGCTCGCTGCTGTTGCAGCAACTCACTGCAGCTAGCCACGGTAGCTAGCTAGCTAGCTAGCTAGCTAGCTAGCTGGAGCGAGTCTGAATATATAGCTGCATGCAGCTACTGCAGTTTATAATACATTTAATATCTTTTGTATTTGTGTCTCTGTTGGGGGTTTAAATGATTTAATTATTATTTTATATTTTACACAAATAAACAAAAAAGCAAAAAAGATATATTCCCTACAACAACCAGAACAGCTGCGTTGCATGCATGCATGCATTCTCAGCTGTCTTCATCAATGCATGCATGCACAGTAATACTTAATACGAAACAAATGCATGCATGCATGCATGTATGCATGCATGCACGAAACGCATGCATGCATGCATGCATGCACGAAACGCATGCATCCATGCATGCATGCATGCATTAGGGTGGGCTGCATGCGCTACGCTATATCCCCTTTACAAATACCCCCCCCTCAACCCGCATGCATGCATGCATGCATGCATGCATGCAGGGATGCATGCATGCATGCATGCAAATACTGCAGCAGCAAAAACTGCAGCAGCAAATCACTGCAGCAGCAAGTGCCTGCATGGATCTCCGCAAGCAAGCAACAATAAATAAACAAACAAACAAACAAACAAATATAATATATTTATTAATTTATTTATTTATTTATTTATAAAAAAAAAAAAAAAANAAAAAAAAAAAAAAAAAAAAGAAAAAAAAAGTTTAAGTCCAAGGAACAATGTTGCTGTGGTCTGCTATGCCCTTCCACATTCGATCCTCGCCACTTATACTGTACGTATCGTATGTCTTCGTGGGGCTGAACTGTACACGCATGCATGCACATGCAGTATATATATATATATATATATATATATATATATATATATATATATATATATATATATATATATAT